ATTTAAATCTTTATAGTTTAGACCTTTAATATAGATTATATATTATAAATTATACTTAATGTAATTATACCCAATACTACAATAGATTTAAATAAATATAATTTTCATTTTCAACTGTAAGATTTTATGTCACCCACCGGCCACTGACCCTAAATAGTGCTGTAATCGTTTGTCACAAAAACAAAAAGTACAGAAGTTGGATATCTAAAACTATGTTTTTTTTAACAATAATACTATATATATATATATACAAGGATAATATCCATGAAAAATAACACCACAATAAATATATGTGATATGAAATTATTAAATAATAATTATTGGTGTTACTTGATTAAGACAACCTAGTGACATTTAGCTTAAAAACTGGAAATTACAAATCAGAAAATTGTGAAATAATTTTCTTTTCAGTCTATGACGAGAATTTTCAGGAAGTGAAGGGATACGTATTTTATATAAAAGAGGACTTTGGTGAATTTTTTAATCAGGAAAAAATTATTTGTTATAAACGTTGCTACTCAATTAAATTTATATAAAAAATGAATATGGCGGCGTTATCTAGTGACGAAAGTGAGTAGATCATGTATTCCTGTGTGATGCAGTTATCGTTCTAACGCTTTGACCAAAATACCGAATAATCGTTGCGATTAATTGACTAAAAGTTATATAGCAACTTGATAACTGACATGATTTAACCGGGTATCTACTTCCTACCTATATTTAAACATATTATTATTCAATCATTTAAAACGTTAAAAGCGATTTTAAATCGAGTAAGTACTCATGTTCGAGATATCTCTTAAGTATGAAATTATGAGTCTTTCTTATGAGTAAAAACAAAACGTATCTACTCGTATGTAACACTGTTATCATTAGTAATGATTTTTACTTTGACTAGGTAAATAATTGTTTTAGCAATTCAAAACCATTTAAAATATAAAAACATAATTTTAGTATTTTTATTGTAATTTGAAAATGTTTGTGAAAATTTAAAACTTTTTTAAAAATTATAACTCATACTTCTGAGCAAATAAACAAGTGAAATTTTCTTCTCATTTTCAAAAAATATTATGTTATTGAGACATCATATGCAGGTACAATTTAGACCGGAAAAATAGTAAAACCACTCAGTAATAAATCTAAATACTTGTTAAAGATACTGAAATATTATAAAAATATGGTTTAATATTAGGTTTGTTTTAATGATTTCATATTTTCTTATAATTTAAGTGAAAATAGTAAATATAAATCATAACTATGAATTTTAAGAAAATGTTAATAAGTGTAACAACTAATAACTAGTTACCAAAAAAAAGTTTAACTACAAAAAAAAAAAAAATCAACTATTATATAATTTTATATTTGAAGGCATTTTTTTTTTTTTTTTTTTTTAATTAAATGTGGTTTTGATATTTATTTTCTTCTCACGTCTTATTTCTTTGATTGTTTACAATCCTTTGAAAACATTTCAACCATTGTGTTTTAAACCACTCAGTGCTGACAATAATACAATTATTTTTAAAACGCAAAACAAGACAAATAATCAATCTTTCGATTTCTGTAAAACTTATTTATAAGCTATAGCATTACATTCAACAAACAACTGAACACCAAATTATGTTTATTTATGTTAATAAATTGTTTTCATTTTTTAATAACTTCAATGGAATAAATTCTAAACACATCAAATTTCAAATAATGATGTAAACATAATCACTCATAAATAAATTCAACATTAAAGTTATTGACCTTAATAAAGAAATTGTAACAACACACATATATATATATATATATCTTTTCATATAAATATTTTTATTATTTTTATATGCAAATCGTACAATTGTATATATACGTCTATAAACAAGAGAAAAATAAATAACAACAGAATTACTTAAATATTAGCTGTAACTTAAAATAATTTACTATTCATTACAAATATCTATTGGTATAAAGTTACTTAAATTTAATAATAATATATTCACAAACAAAATATAAAACTAAAAAGTATAGTTCTGTGGTTGAAGTTAAAATATAATGAAAGAAGAAAGAAGTCAATTAAAAAAATCACAGGTCTTAAGAATAATTGTCTATGTTTAGCATGTAGTTTTACTACTATGTTTATTGTTTATGTACCTATAATGCAGTCATAACAACAAAATTAATAATTCATTTATTAAATATAATTTACATAAAATAAAAAAATAAATATACATTTATTATTTATCAGTTTTAAAAATAATAAGTATAAAATAAATAGAGATAAACTGATACTATTTTGTTGGTAATGCATAAGTCAATAGAACAGTAATACTAATATCTGGTAACAACAGTTTATTGGACCAGAAATCAGTTTTCAATATTATAAAAATTATATATCAAGACGAAACAAATGAAATTTTTTTTATAAAAAAAAAAAAAAATTATATAATATATAATAATTTACAAAATTGCAATTGGCAACTACGAATATGTTAGGTGGACACAATATTATTGTAATTATTAATTATATGGGATAAAGTAACATAAATTAACCGCAAAATAGTCTAGTTTTTGGCACTTACAAAACAAAATATGGTCATTTTGTTCATTTTAAATAATCATCAATGACATGATAGTTAAATAATATCATTACTATGTAATATTTACATCCTACCAACATTGAGCATTATAATTAATAACTTATTAATTACTTCTTATTTGAAAATATTTAATGGTCTAATTAATAATCAACAAATTTAATCCTTAAATTATTTTAATAATAATTATTATAAAATAAAGATACATATTTACATTTAAAGCAATATTATTAAATATTCATTTAAGAAAACAATTTTATTGCACTTAAGTTGCCCTTCATTTCCTTAAGTTCCCTTCTCCCATGTACAAAAATGTCCTAATTATACTTTAATCATATTTAATTTTATACTAGCTGATGACATAATGCAACATCACTAATTTGCTTTTCTAAGAATAATGTCAAAGTATTCTTTGAATAGTATGCATTATTTTCGGAAACATTCACAATCAATTGAGATCTTTAAAAAATTTAAATTTAATCAAATCAAATGGCTGAAACAATATTGTTCTTCATTAACAACTCCTATATAAGTCATAGTTAAATTATTTTAGCAATTAATTGTTTTATAATGAAAATGATAGATCAAAGTAAAATTGTAATTACTCAATACGTTTGAGGATAAATATTTTTGTTTCCATAAAAATTTTTAAATGACCAATTATGTAAGATCTGTGGCTTTAAAATGTAGATTATTACATTATTTCGGCAGTGTTAATACTTCTGAAAAGTACTTTTTATTTTTAAATTTTCAAAACTTGTCACTATCGCGACCAACTATAGAAAAAACAGCAATGAAGATATAAAACTATTTGTATTTATCAGTTAACAATTGAATAGGTAACTATTATTTAGTATCCAAACTATAGCCTGTTATTAATGAAACCATACATTGGAACCTTAAAATGAAAGTTTTTGATACAAAATATTAAAATTCACCATATACCTTCAAATACCCAAAATTAAATATTAAATTACAAATCATAGATTAAACTATTATTTCTGGATATAACTGAAAAACAAGAAATAATTGTAAAATTTTAAAATTAAAGTTGTCCAGCAATAATAAAAAGACTAATGAATTTTTTTATAGTATTATAGATATATAATAATTTTTGTATTTATGTTTATATTCTTAATCATGCCTGAAAAATTTACCAATATATATAATTATTTTAGAATACACTGGATTATGATTAAGCAAAATTAGTGAAAATTAATGGTATTTTACTTATTATAAAAACATTTTAAGTGATAATAGATCAAATTTTAACCCTATATTACATTTAAGATAAATAGACAACTTGGGAGTTGACTCATGCATGGTTCACAGGATAAAAATTGTTAGAAGTAAAGTTATCTTTTTAAATTGAATGAAGTATTTAGAAACCTTAAAAACTGGTACAAGTAAACAGTTTAAAAATTATCAAATTTAAATCCAGTAGAATTATATCATACATCACCATTATGTTTACACATGTTTATTTATTCATAAAATTAGAATTTTAATCTGTAAATTTATAATTAAGGTATCTTTAAATACATTTTGATTAGTTGTTATGAGTATTGTTGTAGACATATTTTTACTTGAATTTCTTGTTAAACATTACGGCTATAATTTAAAAAAAAATAGTTAAACTATAAAAACTATGAAATAGTTTTATAAAATTTAAATTATTTTATTAAATTATTATTTACAAGGAAAATTATAAATAATTATGTAATAGGTGAGCATGCTTGATGAATCACTCTGTACACATTTTATCAGTAGAATTTATTAAAAAAAAAACATATGAAGCTTTCATCAGAGCTTTTTTTTATCATAGCTGGACAATTAAAATTTGAAGAACACAATATATACGACAATAATAAAGATAAATAAATATATTTATAGAAAAAGATAGAATAGATTAGAATAGATAAAAATTTTTGTTTTTTTTCTTTGAGATCAGGAAGAAGAAAATAGAAAATACATCAAGAAAATCAAAATCTTGGAATTCAAACTCTCCTCCTCCTCACAACTTAAAACTTATGGCAAGTTAAAAATATATCAATTCTTTATATTAATAACAAAATTTATAATAATAATAATAATAATAATAAGGAAAATCAAAGAACAAAATTTTAAAATCTTCTGTGAAATAATAAAAGTTAAGTCTTTGAACTTTTAAAATATTTCTAGTTAAAGCTTTCATCATACAAGTTTGTAATAAATTAACATTTTCAATCGTTTCCTAACAAGAAAGAACAAATTAAACTTAAAAACTTACAATTTTATAAAATAACAACTTTCTGGTAGACGTTATGTAACATGCAAATGTATTACCTATCCAAGTAAAATAATATTTAGTTAAGTTTTATTGTAAATTTATACTAAATATTATTAAACTATTTAATAATTTGTATTTCAATTATTTCTCAAATATCATATTAAATAGTATACTGGGAATAAAAAAAAAAAAACAACCAATTTATTTGGCTCAAAGAATATCAAATTATGATTATTATAGCTTCAAAGACTAGAAAATAATATGTAAATTAATCTATAACTTCATTTTAATGCGCTATAAATCACAAACAATACTCCATAAGTCTTTCTTGATCATCCAGAAAGTTAGAAGATTACCCAATCACTTTAATTTCCCTCATTTATAAATAATAATAAAAAAAACATAATACTGAAACATTATGATAACGGTAAAATGTGATAACTGATAATATATAAGGGACATTTTTAAACCTAAGTAAACAGTCCCAAATATTCGTAACTCTCCTTAAACCACAAAAAAACTGTGATGCAAACTACCAAATTTGTAATTTGATGTTACTCGTAGTCGGCGTCAAAATCAAATACAAATAATTTGGTTTCTTCGGTACCATTGCGGCTGCCTACTGCACATACTAACTTTGTTTCATTTGCACGTATTCGCCAAACAACACCACCACTACCACCACTTTCCAGTGCTATTAGATTTCTAATAAATTCACCTAAAATTTAAATAATTAAGTTTCTTGTATTATTCAATCTTTTTACATACTAAAAATTATAATATTACCAGTTTTCACATCCCACAATTTAACAGTACCATCATCAGAAGAAGTTACTACAAATCTAGTGTTGAATTGCAAACATGTAACAGCAGAATTATGTTTATTTGAACCTGTTCGTAAAAAAATTTTAAGATTAATAATTATGATTAAAAAATTATTGAACTCTAAATATTTACCTGACAAAGTCTGTAAGCATTGCCCAGTAAGTATATCCCATACTTTGACTGTTGAATCAGCATTTCCAGACACTAATATATTATCTCTTAATTCCATGCCAGATGTTAAAGATTGATGTCCCATTAAAGTGTGCTTACACGTACCAGTCTCTACATCCCATACTCTTATGCTAGTATCTAATGATCCACTTACAACATGAGTACTATCAAACTATAAATTTTTTTAACAAATTATTATCATAATTTAACATAATATGAAAATGTTTATATATAATTTTATATAATTATACTAATTATATAAAATATAACATAAAAATTTGCTAAATTTAAGTTTAAAAATAAACTAACTTGTAAAGAATATACACGGTTAGTGTGACCAGATAGTGTATGCAAACAAACTTCACTTTCTGCATCCCATACTTTGACTAAGTAGTCATAAGCACCACTAACGATTAATCGGCCATCATATTGGACACAACGTACAGCAGCCTGATGACCAAGGAATATAGACAAGCACTGACCAGTTTCAATATCCCACAACCTAAGTGATGCATCTCTTGAACCACTTACAACTCTAAAGAAATTATTTAAATGTTATATTATCAAATTTAATTTCTAAATTAATATAAAAATAAATGTGTTCATACTTATTTTCATGTAAATGCATACAACGAACAGTTGAAGTATGACCATACAATGTATGTGTACATACACCAGTTTCTGCGTCCCATACTTTAAGAGTACGATCAGTGGAACCACTAATTATAACATTACCAGCCATTTGAGATGACCATACACCTCCGGTATGTCCAGACAATGTAAGCAGACACTAAAAAGTTACCAATATAAAAATAAAAAGAAAGAATAAAAATAACAACTACTTTAAAAACTTACTTTTCCAGTTAGAACTGACCACACTTTAAGTGTATTGTCATCAGAACCACTAACAACCTGATTTCCACAGAATTGTAAGCACGTGATAACGTGATCATCATGGCCTTTGAGTATTCTTGGCATTTTAATTGGTTTTATTCTCCAATTCATTTCAATTGCATGGTGTCTCATGTATGAAGACTAAAAAAAAAGTTATAAATTGATTAATAATAAAAATGTATGAAATTAAATGTATAGTTTAAAAAAAAAAAAATAATATTATATAGACAATTTTAAAATAAAATATTTTGAATTTACAGACATACCTTCCATGGTGAGGTAATACTGCGAATTTTTGAACACTTAATAGTACTTAGATCTGTTAAAGGTATATTAGCGTTTTGGCACTTTTCACGCCATAGTAAATTGTCTTCAGATAAAAACCGCCAACTATGACATGTTTGAGCTGCTTTTAACAAGTCTTTGGGTTCCAAAAATGATAAAACATATAAGGCCAACTAACATAAAACAAATTTTAATAATAAAATAAAATTCACAAAATAAAATAATAGTTTAATGATTATAATACTTCTTTAGGAAGTAGAGAAATAAAATCTCGTTGGAATTGTGGTTCAATAAGCTGTAGCATATGACGAACTTGAGTAGGTTCACATTCATCCACCAACATATCAATAGCTAACATCCTTTCTGCATTTGACCACTTCTGCACAAAAAACATAACAAAGAATTCATATAACCATAGAAATAAAAATAATATTCAGATTAGTTAATCAAAATCCAAAAATTCACAAACCGAAAAAGTTTTTAGCCATTCCATCATTTCTTCAGGCGGATCATCTTTGGACGGTATACAACTTCGACGAATCTTTATTTTATCTATTTTATCTAATTCATTTTCAGCCAATTTAGGCGTCAGTCTAAAAAATACAATTTTCATAATGCATTGAATTTATACACATTAAAATTAATAATTTATTAAAAAATGCTTAAAAATAAGTAAAACAAAATTTTAAATGTTTGATAATCATGTAATAATAGAGTATATACTTCATAATATAAAAACAATTATAATTTTACATACCTAATAATACACATGTACAATATGTAATAATATTGTATCTATCAAAAATATTTTTTTGATATTTGTGAAACTTAATGATTACTGTGAAGTTTTGGGTTTCAAATATGATTATCTACTTTAGAAGAATAGGGTAAAATAAATGATCTACACTTTGATAAAAATGTAATGTTTATAATTTAAGAACAATATAGTTGATACTTTGGTAAACATAACTTTAAGTAAAAATATCAAAAAGTCATATAACTAAAAAATGTAATTAGGTATTCATTGCGACAATTGTTGTATTTTTTTGTTTTATATTAGGATTGCCATGATATGGAACACAGAAAGTAGCAAAATACTATAATTGTATCCAAAACTTAATAGTTATAAATGCCATATAATAAGTAATTTAAATAAAATAGGTTTTAAACAATACTGTAGTATTTTGATATAATAACCACGTTAATAGTAAAGCTTGTTATGCTATCTAAAATGAGCCATCGTACAAGTTAGTATTTCTGCATTGACAACATAGTAATACTAATACACCTAACTTAATAGGTTAAATTTATAATGTATTTTTTACTAATACTTATATCATCAACGTATATATTTTAATTGAAAATTAATAGTGAGTATTGTCAATATTTATTTTAAAAACTATAAATGTATAAAAAATGTGCAATTTCAAATATTAGATCCATTACATAAACTTAACTATATAAAGTCAACATTTTAGTACTTTCGATGATTTGTTATAACTTATAACTACTAAAGTAAAAGCTGTAGTATACAAAATATAAGCTGCACTCCTTATTCATCACCAAAATGTTTGCTTTAATTTAATTTTTAAGGACTACCATGCTTGTAGGTCCAAACAAAAAGATAATAATGTTAAGAGTAAAAATATGATCGTTAGAAAAATAATTTCTTTTTACATCTTTCAGGGCTGGCAATTATAGTTTTCATAACATTTTAGAAATTTAACACCCATAAATAACAAAAACAAATAAAAAATGTTCTTCCTAGTTTATTTATCATTATAATTTATGATGGAGGATAGACAACTATTTAATGCAGCTCTATATGAAATAAGTCAATGGAGTTCTGAAACAATTAAAATAATAATAAAATGTAAAAAAAAAAGGGGGGATAATGTGTAAGCCAATCAAGTTTCTGCATACTCTAAATAAAACTACTAGCTATACTATTGCTCTACTTTTAATAACTTAAAATAGTATTATATATTTTACAACTAAACTAATATATAATTATTTTAATTAACTATAGTACCAACATCTGGTTGGTTTTTACAATACTTACTACAATATAATATATGTGATTCAAAATGACGACTATATAAATATACTCGTAAATATATAATATTAATATGTACAGAATTTGTAACATACCTTTCAAGATTTAAATTGTTTTGATCATAATATTGTTTTTTGGACGGAAAATCTTCAGACGTTAATGTGGAATTTGATATTTTTCTTTTTCGCTAATAGAAATAAAATTTATTTTAAAATATATTATTAAATCATTTGTTTATATTAAGTATCACTATTATCTTTAAAATAACTTAATTTTAATTTTAAAATGTATAAAAAAAAAATAAATACTTTTTACTTAAAAAATGTTAGTGTAATAAAATATTAAAATATGAAAATTAGTAGCTTCACATGACAGATTAATTTTAATAAGTAATAATTAGTAACAATTAATTTAAGGTTATCTTAATGTCAATATATATGCAATTAAAAAAAAAGTAGATAAATTATTGTTTTAATATAATTAAGACTATTAATTATAAGATAAATATAATGAGCTTAAATTCAAAATCTAATCTATTATCAATAAGTTAAAATTGAAATTGATTTCTGAATAGAAATCCCAAAATATAATTTTTATCAAGTTTTAAAATATATTCTAAAATATTAATTAAACATACAATTTACTTACCATAACACCATTAGCATTAGAAGCATCTTCTTGTTCACTTGGATTATCCGTCCAATCATCATTAACCCAATCACCATCATCAGGTAAAGGACTTTCATCAGAGTAAATATCCTGTTCTGTACATGTACTATCAACTAAATGAAGATTAAATACATTTTTCATTTCAATGTTAGCTACTCCAAGTTCATCTGAATCTGTGGTTGGTGCAGACTCTTCTGCTATCAATTCTTCTTCTGCTGTCTCCAAAACCACTGGGCACATGGTCGGACTTTGGCTGGTAAAATCAGTCTTTTCAAGGCACGATGTAGACGGGTCTTCAAAATCCAATTGATCACCTTCCATTCTGAAAAATAATAATTGATAAAAAAATGTTTTGATAGTTTTCTAATTTTCAAAAAAAAAACCTGTTTCATTTTTTTAAAATTCAAATTTACAAACATAATTATGTCTAATAAACTTATTTTTATTATAATTAATATCGTAATTAAATAATAACTTATAAGATGAATATTAAATTTAATAATAAAATAACAAGTTTGGTTAATATTTTATAAAAATAATACATACTACATAGATACATATATAATAATAAGCATACTATTTCATTCAGCATAGTAAAATTTATAAAAAATTCTAACCTATCTAACCATGTATAAGGAATTTTAAATATGTCAAGACAATTAACTTACTCAAATTCTTTATTTTTAAGTTCTTGATGAAATAATGAATGTATTAATTTAACAATGCTTTTTTTGTGTGTGTCAGTATTTAAACCATATTTTAGAGCAATAAAAATCTAGAATCTTTAACTTTGAAAGTGGTTCCTGGTAGAAAATTCGATCTAGTAGGTACTTAAGATGCCAAAATTAAATTCCTTGTTCTTTTCAAAATAATAATAAAAAAAATTAGAATTTTTATCTAAAAACAGATTTTGTTTTGATATTAAAATTTAAAAATAAATAACGTTAAATTTGAATTTTTAACTATGTACATATTAACATTAACTAGACATGATATAACTTCTAAGGCTCATTTTGTGCTATTTATAAATATTTAAAATTTTCCCTTTTATTTCAATTTATGACAAATAATATTAAAAAGTAAAAATACTTGAAAACTTAATACAAGATTTTTCATAAGTACTTATTAATTACTGGAATTAAAAAAAAAAAGATAAATATAAAGCCAGATACATTTTTTATCATTTTGTTGTAATTCAAAAAATCGTAGAAACTTTAAACATTTTTCTATTAATTATTATTTTTTTATACACAAAATGATATTTTAAAAATATTTAAATTTATACCACTAACTTATAAGTTAATATTAAATTAAATAATAGCCTAATAACTACAATTTAGTAAAAGTAATTTGTTACTGGCAAAAACTATTTTATCTACCATATTACTAATAACAATATAAATATAGGCAAAACAAATTATACTTAAAAATAATATAAATTGACTTAAATCATCTTTGCTCAGAATTATTTTTTTATTTTATACAATGATGTATATTTAAAATTTTAACACATCAATCTTAAATTAACTGTTTTAACCTGTTACTTAAATAAAAACTGAACCAGTTCCCAAGTTTTGTTTTTATTTAACATGATATTACATTATCATATTTTTAATTAAGAAAATAAATATTAAGTTATTTTAGTATAATATAGTACCTATATAATATAATATTATTATTGAATTTTTAAATATTTTCTAAATACTTAAATAATAAATGTCATCTTAATTAATTAAAGAATGTTCTAAATATTGATATTGCACTTAATTTGAAAAATAAATATATTTTTTATTGATAAGGTAAATCTTCAAAAATCTTGCTTTAAATAAACCAAATATTATTATTTATTAGTTACTAATAAAACTATAATATATAATAAAAATAACTACATCTAATTAATCCATGCCAATCAACTACAAAATTACAGATTATGTATGTTATTGAAAATATTAAATATTTATTAAAAAAATAGTATAATAGTGAAGGCAGTGGCGTAGCCAGGGATGAACTGAGGGGGCTGTAACCCCACCTCCACCAAAATTTTAAGAAAATTTAAAAATTATTGTATATTACTAATAAAATAAAATGTCCAAAGTATTTAAAGTATACAAGTATATTAAATCAATATATGTTAAGGGTTGTAAGAACAAAAATCTAAAATAAAACTTCAGCATCTGCATGTTCAAATTATGGAAGAACTTAAGTAAACCACAGCTATGTAAAAAATTGATCACCCCCCCCCCCCGAACAAAAATCCTGGCTACGCCACTGAGTAATAATACAAACTACTTATAGTTAAGAAAGATTATTAAAGACATTAATGTTATATTAATTTATTCAAGTTTACTAAATATAGAAATAATTTAAATTAAAATACATTTTAATATATAAAATAATGAAAATAATAAAATTATTAATTATTAACCAATGACCTATATATTTAGCTAAATTAAACAATAGATATTAATTAAGAAATATTTAAAAGTTAATAAATACATATTTAGTAGGTCAAAAAAATAATATAAACAAAATAATTACAGTTCATGAGTTTAATTTAATAAATTTAATGATGATTCATAAAGTTCAACTAAGCAAAAATATGAATGTGTCTTCTTGCATTGTAAGTATTATAAAATAATATATATTTTTTCACCGCTTCTATATTTTACTAAGTAATCTAACTAGTATCATATGAAATAATACTTTACATACTCAGCTATAAAAATAGTCCCAACATTTTTTTTTAAATTTAACATATACAAGCACATATATATATATATATATTGGTATATATGCATAATTGATGATTAAGCAACTATAGGAAATTAAAATAATGGCTGGTTATATTTAATTGTATGAAAATTAATTGCTTATTTAACATTCAAAATTACTATCTATTCCATCTTTTCATTGAAATTAATTTTCAATTGTTTCTGAATAAAAGTTATTAACAATGTATGAATAATGAATACTACGGTCTAAGTGGAAATATGTTTGAGGTTATATATACTCACTAACAATGTTTGTCCAAATATACTGTACTTTCAATAAATGAAGTGCAAAATATTTCAAACCATCTAGCAAAAACACCCCCACAACAGATGGATATTTAAGTACATTAAAAATTCGACTTTGGTGAACATGCGTTTCGACAGTAAAATTTCAATTTAATCGGTCGATGACGTAACTGATGTTTTTAATTCAACTTTAAAATCGAACACTTCTAAACAATACCACTGACAGATCAATTAAATAACGTATAAATGATAATTACCATAAATATGGTCTTCTCGTAGCAGGTGTCGGACTCTTCGCATGAAAACGAACGACAAATTTTCAGATACGATTATAAGAAATAAATACTCGTCACTGGCCCCTGGGACACCCTTCCTTCACCAACGACCCATGACGAACTAGTACGTTATCAACAATATTATTTTTGATAATAATGAAATGATACACTAAACTTAACGAACCTTATGTTTAAAAATTAAAAATTCCAAACTTTCCTCTATCCCCATTTATCATAATATTTAATCAAGTACAAAAATTTAAAGACTAAACAATTTTTATAATTATTAATTAAACACAATAATTTATAGAAAAATTGATTTGTTATTTTAATGTTATCATTAAAATTCGTATAGATATAACCTCAAAAAGTATATTTTATCAATTGATTAATATCACCATAACATATAATATGCTAACTTAAATTTTTATATTTACACTTTATATACAATCACAAAAACAGAACAATACATTTTGTAAAATTATTAGCTTTGCATGATAAACGTATACAATACTATCCTAATATCCTATATTCATATTTTGTATCCATGCAGACCGTGCTCAATAGCCTTATTAATCAATGATCTTAAGTTATATTTCATACCAAATATTATAAATTAAAATTAATTATTTATAAATTTAAATGATAATATATATTATATTCGGTCACACTTGACATTCACAATATATTTAGTAATTATAAAAGACTTCTTTCACGTTATTTTTTTAAATTTTAAGAAGTGTGTTAATTTATTTTATATTTAGAGAAATTGGTTAGTAGATTATTTTTTTTTAAATTTATGATGGCTGTACCGTCTCCAAAATCACCTGAACAGTCAGAACGAAGTCGAAAATATGACAGGCAACTGAGGTGATTTTTATCATCAATTATAATTAAACATAATATCAACATTTAAAACCCAAAATTCTTAAAATGTTATTTAAATTCAAAAGTTTATTAATTAACCATATGTGAAATTTAAAAAATATTGTTCATATAATTTTTATAAGAATTGTACAGTTGATCAATAACTTACTATTTTCATCATATGTCAACCTTAGTGTCTTAGTAATACTTCTAAATACAGTGGTATACAATACAATTAGCAGATAAATGACAGCCTGTTAGCCTCCTTGGGTAAATTAGCTCCCCTTTCCCCCTCAAAAACTCTAAAATCTCCCAAATGTCTCCTACCTTAGCTCGTCATCTATTATATGTTAATTTATATTAATTGATATTTCTACCCCCCTTCTAAGTTTTTAACCATATTTAAACCTGTATTAACCCCCATACTATATCATTATATGAGTAATACACTATATATTTATACTTAATACATTTCTTTTAATTTTTTCCTAGTTACATGGTTATATTATCCTTAAAAAAATATCAATTGACTGATTACACATCTCTTAAAAATTTGTACCACTGAGATAATAGTAAACTATAATCTTCATAAATGACTTCAATTAATTTATAGTAGTGCCTACTTTATAGAGAAATGATGAAATCAAATATGTTTAATAACTGAAAATTGAATGCTTGTGTAAAAGTTTATCTAATTTATTATTTCATACTAGTATATAGGCTTAAATAAAACTAATATTTATATCTATAGTTATTATTTAACTTTGACCAAAAATATTACAACAAAGATGGTAATCAAAGTAATATCATTCAATGTTTTATTTTAAATTATGTATCAATATTGCTTACTTATACTTAGTCTATTAAAATATTTATCATAATATTGTTGTATTAATTAATAAATATATCTTTTACTTTTAAAATATTAATTATTTTAGATTATGGGGTGATCAAGGACAACAAGATTTAGAAACTGCTCATGTATGTTTAATTAATGCTACAGCATTAGGTACAGAAATATTAAAATCATTAGTTCTGCCTGGTATTGGAGCATTCACCATAATTGACAATGAAGTTATTACTGAAGAGGATATAGGTTCTAAGTAAGTTTTATAAAGTCTATGTTACTTAATATTGTTTAAAATTATAATTGTTTATTTCTCTGTTAGTTTTTTTCTTACAGCAGATAGAATAGGAGAAAAAAGAGGATCAATTGCTTCACAACTTCTTTGTGAACTAAATCCAGATACCAGAGGTCACTTTATTGATGAATGTTTACTTAAGTTATTAGATTTAAATCCTGGTTTGTTTAATACATTTACCGTGGTTGTCACTACTTCTCTACATGAAAAGTATAAATAATGATAGTTGAAAGTAATATCTAAAATGTTAAATTTAAATATTAATAAAAAATTGTTTGTTTTTATTTTTAGAGAAATAATTGATTTGTCACATAAGTTATGGACTTACAATATTCCTCTTTTAGTATGTCAAAGTTATGGATTTTTTGGTTCTATGAGACTTCAGCTTGCCGAACATACTATGATAAAAACTCATCCAGACAACCAAAATCCTGATCTTCGGTTAGATTGTCCATTTCCAAAACTTAAAGCACATTTTGATTCTTATGATTTAGAAGCTCTTGATCTTACAAATCATTTACATGTTCCTTATCTTGTTATACTATACAAACATTTAGAAAAATGGCGTAATGATATAGGTGATGTCAATGTGTTGCCTGAAACATATAAGCAAAAACAAGTTATCCGTGAAAATATAAAAAATAGTTAGTATTATTTTCATATTTTTAAATGGTTAGTAATTACTTATTATCAAGAGAATATTAGATTAAGTTAAAATAATATTTTCTCTCGTTGAGAAAAATATCATATTTGGTAATATAAGGTAAATAATAGTAACTATATACACATAAAAGTATAAAATATAATTAAACCCTGGTTTTATTAATTAATATTAGCGCTCAATTTTAAAATTTAAATGTATTTTATTGTTTAATTTATTTTACAAGTATAAAATACAAAAATACAAATATTGAGATTTCATTGTTCTGAATATAAATATATAATTAATTTTACAGAAAGACATATCTCTTCACCATATAATTATTTAATGACAATTTTTTTATTTAAATTGATTTTGAGTTTTACTATGTTTTATTATTACTTAATATTTATAAAATTAAAAATAAAATAAAATATTAATCTGATTAGGTTATAACTTAACCTTCTAAGTAATCAGACCAATTATTATTAAAATACCATTTATCACAAACAACCTTTTTTAATTAGTATAAGTGTTATAATATTAGTTTCAATTAATTTATAAAAAAAAAAACATAATTTTATTAATTCAAAAATATACAATTTTTATACAAATGTACTTTTAGGTATAAGAAAACATGAGAATGGTACCATGCACCATGAGGAAAATTTTGAAGAAGCAATTCGATCCGTTAATTTTGCATATAATCGTACATCTTTACCAGAAAATATACAGCTAATATTTAAAGATGAAAAGTTAAACAATTTAACATCAAATGTAAGTATCTAAACTATAAAAAATATTTTGGGTACTATCCTGTTACACTAGATTACCTTGCTTAGTGAAACATTACAATCCTATTATAGAAGACTAATATAATTTTCCTCTTTCCTATTACCTCAGTTTTATTTTTATTTTTTTAACAAACCACACTTAGTTGTTTGTATGATGTTTTAATATGCATGAGATGAAATATTTTAATATGAACATTAAAAAGTTAAGTAAGGTTATGTTAAGTTTTGATATAATATTAACTAAAATTTATGCAAGTTAGCTAAATATAATTTTAAATTATGACATAATTTACCTTAATATATTTTTATTCTGTCATTTTGCTGATTCCCAGTTTATTTCTATAATTTGAGTCTATACTCCACTCAGAGAATTTACAAGTTTTTGCTGTGATTAATTTTCAAATATTTTAAACTTACCTTTTCAAATTTGCTAGAGTAATGATACCAACAATTTAAATAAATTATTATTTCCTTTTTTTATATTTAACAAAATGTCATTAAGAAGTGTAGACATAGCTTGCTCAGGAATTTGGATCAAAAATTATTCTTAAGTTTAATGAGATAATTAATTCATATTATATCTAATCAATAAATTCATTTTTGCACTTAAAGTTTTTTTTCTTTGAATGTATTCAATATCACTTTCTTAACTAGCCTTACTGTTTTTTCTTCAGTGTTAAGTAGATTATGAATCTTGAAATGTGATTTATTCGACAAAATTAGAGTGAGACTGCTATTATTGTTTTAACTAACAGATAAATGTAATAAATAAGAACAATATTTTAAAACTAACAATTTAATGATAGGTAATTGTAAATTGAAGCATTGGATATTGTTATAGTTATGTGTCTCGATAATAATCATAATCTTGTATAATTAAAAAATACTTACTATGTTTTGAATAAATATTTTAATTATTATCAAATTTAGAGTCAACCTTTCTGGATAATGATTAAAGCACTTAAACATTTTGTGGATAATGAAGGATGTGGCAGGCTTCCAGTTCGTGGAACACTACCTGATATGACAGCTGACACTTTTAAGTACATCAGTTTGCAACAATTGTAAGTTTTTCATAATTCTCTTGAAATGTTTTAATGTGATTTGAACAAAAACAATATTTATTAGATATCATGAGCAAGCTGCTAAAGACGCAGAAGCAGTCTACAATCATGTTCAACAACTTCTTCAAGTTGTTAACCTTCCTGATGATACAATCACAGAACAAGATATTAAAATATTTTGTAAACATGCATCTGAGTTATGTGTCATGAGAGGTACACGGATAGCTGATGAATATGAACGTAAAGGAAATGCCGATAATATAATATGTGAGTTAATTGCTAAAAATTATAGACATGTAGAGTATGCCTCTACAGTTTTGCAGCTCCAAGAAAAACTTAATTTATATTTTTTAATTTTAAAGTTCTTTTTTTCTTAAGAAACTCAATTACAAAAAATTTAAAAAATTTATGAATTTTGTCAGAAAAATACTTGTGCTAGATAATTGGCAACTTGAATTTCAATCAACTAATATTTTTTTATTTACTAATTTTATACTTTAATAACAATAGTTGATGAATTAATTACTAAAAAAATTTTTCTTTTAATTGAGAAAGTCAATATTTTTTGTTGTCAAATTGGTTTTGTGTACCTTGTCCAATGCATGTCTGTGAAAAAATAAGTTATAAATAATTATTTTATTATCTATAACAGTGGTTCTCAACCTTTTTTTTTTTTTTTTTTCCATACTCCTAAGTTTAATATTTTACTGTACCCCTCATTATAATTTTTAAACTTTTTCAAGTAACTACTTTTAAAATATTAAAATAAAAAATAACAAAAAATTCTATGTTACATTCTAGACTTAATATCTATTAGATAAATTGATGGTTAAGTTTTAATTAGTAACACAAATTTTCATTTTTAAAAACATCTAATAAATATTTTCAAAACAATTTGTTTTAAATAAACAAATTCAACATTTTCTGCCATTAGTCAATTTTTTTTCATGTACCCCAGGTTGAGAACTGCTGATCTATAGGTTAAATTTACTGTTTGTTTTATTGTTGAACATAATTAATACTTTTGTTAGGTCAAAGCCTTGAAGATCCAGACAGTTTAATTGAACATTATATTATACTGCGTGGTATAGAAAGATTTTATTCGGAATATTATACATACCCCGGTGAAATTGATGAACAAGTTGAACCTGATATTCCTAAGCTAAAGGTAAACACAATAACTTTAACTTAGATTATAGCTTTACGCTTTACATTTTGTAACTTATCACATATCTTTAGTTATGCATATCTAAACTACTTAGTGAATGGGGTTGTATGTCTTCAACAAAAGAAGACTCTATACATGAATACTGTCGTTATGGCAAGTCTGAATTACACAGTGTATCTTCGTTCATTGGTAAATTTTTATTATTTATTTACCCTTAAATTATGATATACTTGTACCATAATAAATTTCTATTCAAATATTTTTATATTTTCAGGTGGTTGTGTATCGCATGAGATAATAAAAATAATTACACGACAATATAAACCAGTAAATAATTCCTTTGTATTTAATGCTATCAACTGTAGTACAGAGTCTTTTACATTATAATATTTTACAACTTCAAAAACCAATTATAAGAAGTAAAATGTTATAAACATTATTTTTTCTCATTTCAATGTTAATTTAACAAAATTATTTATAAAAAAAAATCTATAAAGACTCATTGATAAACAAAATTTGTTTTATTATTTTAATTTAATAATATTTATTATTTCATTATTAGTACAGTTGTTGATAAAACCATTGCTCGATGTTGGGAGGGGAGTACCCCAGCTAAATTTTTAGAGATTTTAGCATACTTCTATTATTATTTTTAAGGGGAATAATATACAGTACGCTTCATCATTTAGCTTTTTTATTCAAGTGTGCAAAATACCATCTTAATTTGTCTTATAGATTATTTTAAAACCATGCATCTATATAAATCAAAAATAATAATCTAGTTTTGAATGTTATTTTTCTTTTTTGTATTGGACTTGCTTTGATGTTTGTTCAAATCAAAATATGCATAATAAGTTTTAGTACCATGAATAATACAGTAATTTAAAAAAAAAAATTATTTACAATTAAGCATATATCATCATCATTATTATTATTATTATTATTATTATTATTATTATTATTATTATTATTATTATTATGTGTTGATCTGCCCACTAATAGTTTTATACCAAATAACTATGTAAAATCTTGGATAATAAATGGTAAAAGAGATGCAGAAAAAAATTGTTGTTTAAAAAAAGTAAAATTGAAAGATAAAAAAAGAACATGCTATTAATAATTTATGGAACTATATAAATAAATAGTTAAAAATTGGTGTTATTATTTATTTATTTTATTATCCTTTTGAGTTTGTTATTAATTCTAATTATAATTTATATAACAAGTACAGTAGTTATATATATCTTCTATTAACTTGCAATTTTTTATTTTTGAAATTGATTATTTATAAATATTTTTTTATAATTAAAAGAGAATTATTAGAAGGTATAGGGGTCTAACCCTCATAACTCAATAACATTTAATAAGTTATGAAGACACTTTTTTTCTTAAAAGTAAACAGAATCCCCTACTTTAATTTTTCCAAGTCAACCATTGAGTAGAACATAATATATTTTAACAGTTTTGTCAAAGTTATAGTTATATAGTTCTATCTACATTTTACAACCATGATTAGCAGTTATAAGTCATAACCATGAACTAAGACATTATAATATACTATTATATTTTAAATAATGGTTATAAGTTTTAGCTACCTACTATAACTATTATAATTTATAAGATATAGTTAGCTCTTCCTATTAAATTTAAAAATCGGACGTTTTTTTTCTCTAACCTACAAAGTGAAATCTATGAGAAATGTTGCAATTTTAAACATATGTACATAAATACATGAATCTAAACACATACAAATGTGCGAGTTAGAAAATTGAAACAAACAAGAAGTATCCTATAATGAATGGCAAAATATACTTCAGATTCTGTCGAGACGTTTAAATTTTAAAATGTTAACATCAATAACAGGTTTAAAATTGTTTAACAGATTTTAGTAATAGTAAAAAATTTTAATTATTAATAAATATTCAATTAATTAAATAATAATAATAATTAATTGAATATTTATTAATAATTAAAGTTGTAGTAATAACTACAGTCGATTGTGAACAATCCATTGCAAAAACCTACATAAATCTAATTAATCGTGCCTTTAATCCTTTCGTAGGCACAAGATGTAAAGTAAAAACTTTATACTTTATATTTGCGTTCGTAGCCAGTAGGTCACAATTTCATGAACCATCAAATTATTTCTCTTTTTATCATAATAAAAAAGTATTTAAAACTGCCGATATCATCTTAGAAGTGATGACATAAGCCGAGGGACTCTAAATTTTCGATATTGGCAGTAATTAATTTGAAAATTCAAATTTCATCTAATTATTTTTTACTTTTTTAAAGAAGTTCTCTTTTCTTGTCCCTTACAAGTTACAATAGTAATAATAATTATTCTTAATTCTTATAGTTCGGGTCTTTATCCACCAACGATCTACCTTATTTATGGTATATCATGGTCTTGTAATAGTAATGGTATAATAATAGTGGTATACTGTATTATCTATGATGCCGACTGGCTGAAAGTAAAGCTATCATAATAATAAAAAATTGTATGGTGATAACTGAGAGTTGATATTTTGTCGGTGTTGAATGTTGAATGTTGATTTAATAAAATATTTAAATATCATAATATCACATCCACTAATTTATTATTTTAGTGATTTTAGTCTACTATTGTATAGTGTATTTAGTATCTTACCCATTTGTCGATAATTCAACACTCGTGTATCAAGTGCATGTTTCATTATGCCATCGCCGAACATGATTTCCGAGCAACTCGACGTCAGGTAGGCAAAGTTCACAATGGTATAGATTTATTTTATGGTTCGACTTTAATAGTGTAGTCGATTATTGTCTGTGTTTTAGTTTCGTCATTGAAGAACTTGAAAATGACGAGATCCAAGAAGGGTCCTTGACGGCTGAACAGTACACTAAATTGTTTTCCGCCTACTTATATACCAATGAATTGTGTGCCGCAAAATTCTTATGGCGCCGTGTTCCTGAATCAATGAAGGCCGATCCCGAGCTATATAAGGTCTGGTCAATTGGTAAAGCCCTCTGGTCGAAACAATATACCCAAGCGTATGAACTGATTGACTGCAAATGGTCTGACGTACTTGAGCCCATCATGGCTGCCATCAAGCGTCGCATCCAACAGGACACTTTGAAATTCATTAGCATGCACTACGAAAATATACAACTCGACAAATTTCAAACGTTTATGGGAGTAGACAAAGAACAAGCGGAGAGGATAGTGGAGAGTGAAGGTTGGACATGTAAAGATGGATATGTATTACCGATAGCAATCAGTGAACCTGATTTAGGACTAGGGGGTAGTCAAGAAATTCTGGATAGATTGGTGACTCTATCGTCATTTACATCTTACATTGAAAATTGAATCAGTTTTTTGTTTGTGTATTATATAAATTCAAGGCTGATTCAAAACCTATCAACTAAAAGCTAGGTTTAAAATTAATTTTAACAAACAATTTTGTATCAAATGTTTACAAATGTAACATATAAGGATAAAATTAAATCTATCTTTTAAATGTCTACTTTTTTATTTTATATTCATTTTTTACTAAGTTAATAAACAGTACTCAGTACTTTGTGTTATGTTTAATAAAATCTACTGCATTTTAGATATGAAAATTATTCCATTAAAAAATTAAACACTTCCTAACTTAAAATTATTAAGTTCTAAAAATTCTAGAACTTTTCATAAAAGAATATATTAGTAAAAAAATATGATTACAATGAGTGAACATTTTGGTTAGTGTTTATCTATTACTTAATAAAGGATACATTTATATCATACAAATTTAAAATTAACTTTAACTTGTATGTTCAGTGAACATAAATATGTTAATAGAATTAAATCCTAGATAATAATATATAAATAGTTTAATAGCTTGTTAATAAAGTCTAAATATAATTAAATGTTAAAGATTTATCGTTTTGTAACATACTATTCTCATATTTTTATGAAGCATAATAATAATAATGTATATATTAATGATTTTTTTAATAGCCATTAAGGTTACCTCACCAGATCCTTATCACAATTATTATTGCATAAATTTTTAAAATATTAGTAATAAATTGTACTTTGTTTAATATATTAATATTTATGTACTTTGATCAGATACAATTAAGAGTTTTTTATTATCATCTTAAAATATATTAATATTTTACACATTTATAATTTACTTAAAAATTAAATTACAGTAAAAATCCAGTAAGAGAATAACATATTGTGTTCATAGATTAAAGTTTGATAATAAATCAATTCTCTTCAATATTTAGGTAACTACACAAAATTTGAACTGCTGAATGAACATTATGGCATATTAAGCATTAGTAAGATGCAGACAATTAACGCAGGTAAGACGTCTACTTTTAATAATATAAATTGTAATTTATTTAAAAATGAAGGTGTTCGTAGAAAATAAAAAATTAAGCCAATAAACAGTATTTTTTTAATAATGAATTATGGTTAACATCTATAAAATTTGACAATTTATTTTAAAATTATAGGACACCATACATTTCCATCACCTCTACTAAGTTAGATTAGTCGTTTACCTTACAAATATACAAAATAGTATATTATTTGTGTTATTCAGTTTTAATTTGATGTTATTATGCTATAATATTAGAATAAATTAACTTTATCTAATATCAAACTTAAAGTTAAGTTTATGCCATTGTCTATATTAATCTCTTGTTTTTTTTTTTTTTTTTAACCATATTTTAACTTATAGGTGAGAATATGTAAAATATTAGAATTTAATGCTTATTAATCGGTGCTCACTTAAAAATTAAAATATTGTAAAAACCAAATGAAAGAAAAACAATAATGATTTTACCCATAATTTTAATAATTAACTTTAATATTAAAGCTATAGACATAAAATTAGTAATGCTGAAATAAAATTTTTATATTGTCTGTTTGTAAAATAAACACAATAAATTTGGCTGTGTATATTCTCTTATTTCTCTTAATGAACAATGTTTCTAAGAACCAAACTATTTAGATGATAGAACAAATTATTGTCCCTAGTTTTTATTATGTTGAAAAGTATAAATTTTAATTACTTTAACTGTAATTTATAACACATTACTCATTAATAATACAAATATATTTGTCATATAATATTAATTATGTTTCCAATTAAAATGTAAGTCATAAAGTTTTTCAAAAATATGTACAATAATTATTGAATTCAAAATAATGTATTAATATTTGGTACATTTTAATCACTGTTTAATAATTGTTAAATTTGGACATAATTACGTTAAAAATGTAAATATTAATCAAACACTAAATTCATGCATATGTAATTGTATTGTATAATATGTACATCACACATAATTTAGTTTAAAACAATGATTTATATTCTATAGACTTATAATAATTCATATTATTAAGTTTTTAATTATTTTGTTTTATTCACTTTGGTAAATAACAAAATGTTTTTCTTAATATGAATATATTTTAACAAAAATATTTAAAAAAGTAATAAAAAGAATAAGAGTAAAATCCAATAAATAAGAATTTGATATTAATACATACAAGATTACAATAATTTATTATTAAAAAATAAATACAAACAGTTGGAACTGACAGATAAAACACATGTTTTAGAATAAAGATAATACATTTTGTTTGTATACAATATTAGTCTATTAGAAAAAGATAGAAAGAGAGAATAACAGTAATCCAATATATTTAGCTGTTAAAGATATTTACCATTTTAAAAATTCAAACAAACTAAAAAAAAAAAAAAAATAACTTTCACAGAAGAAATAAACAATAACCAAATAAACTTCAACTAATTACCTGCACCATAACGGGTTTATAAGCTAATTGATCTGTGCATAAAGAAATATTTTTTCAAATTAATATGCGCATGAATAATTATAGGATATTGGATTATAATTAATGATGGCAACTTAATTATATAAGTATATTAATGTTTTTTTTTATGGACCTTAATAGATAGGACTATGCACAAAGAATTTGCATTAAAAATTTGAAATACAACTTTTTGCTTTTTGTTTATAAATTAATATTATATATTTATTTTCAAATTAAAATTTTTTCCTTTTTAAAAGTAAAATTAAAATATCTTACTAAAATACATATTTTCCAGCAATAATACCCAACAATGCTACTACTATCGCTAGGCCAACCATCAGAGTGATATTGGCATTTCTGTTTTGCATATCCAAATGCTGACTACCACCAACAGAACGTTTTTGAGATTGCTGGTGTTTGAATTCATTTTTAAGTTGCAATAATTCTTCCTATAAAGTATAAAATTAAATTAAAAAAATTAAATTTAAATAATATCATTAAAATATTATTCTTACTTTCAATTTCATATTTTCTTGTCTTAAGATTGTCTCTTCCTCACGTAACTTTTTTATTACTCCAGTAGTTACTTTTTCTATCTCTTTTGCTACAGGATCTGTTTCTGGTACAGCCTGTTAACATTTAATTAAAAGTTATTAATTTTGTTGAATAGAACTAATTAAAATAATTTACCGTGGTATCTTCATGAATGTTTTTTGATTCTAATAACTGTTCAACTGTAGGCATTTCAAACGAGCATTTGAGTTTAGAATCCATTATTCTACCTTCTTCAATATCTCTCCACTATAATAAAATAAATATTTATTATTATTTAAATTATACATAATGTTTTAAGTAAATTACAAATATAATCTAAAAAAGTAAAAGAAAAACAATATTAAATTTATAATATTTTAGTTTTTTTTTTTTTAAATTGATTAAATTATTTTGTTATTATTTTCTGACTTAAAAATTGTTATGAAACATAGAAGTAACCTGAAAAGTTTTGCCATCTTCACCATAATCAGCAACAGGATCGATAATAACAGTCTGTACCAAAAACTTGTGTTTATTTCTCTCATTGGCATCATAGTCGAATGGTTGCAATATTACTGGATAACAAATTCATAACACACACGAACAAAACGCAAGTTAGAACAATCATATAGAGGAAAAATATTTTTAAGGTTCATTAAAATATTATAAAATGGTAAATAAGCTTGATAATAAAAATTAATCGGACAAAAAGGAAACAAAATCTAAAAAAAGATTGTTAATTTAAAGATGCAAATCAATAAAAAAAAAATTATGTATATTTCTTTATAGGTACCTGAAATTTCTGTCTTTTCTTTAGGAGCAAGTTCACCACAATTTGGTCTTACACAATAACGCTTAGGAGCAGTAGTTTTTATTTTGAAAGCCACTTTTTTTTCACTTGGATTTTTCAAAGACATTATTGTTTGCACTGGTTCAGTAAATGGACCTAAGAAAAAAAAACCATGTAAATGTTGTAAATCACCCATTTTAAATTTTTAGAAAAATAAGTTGTTAAATATATTATATAAGTGCATATGGTGACTTTAATATATAATATAAATTTTATATCAATTTATAATTAAGTAAAAATTTATTTAATCAAAAGTCCATAAAGCTTTAAATTTGTTAATTTAAACCTATTTCATTATCTTTAAGCAATATTTATTTGAAACATAAATGTTGTTAGTTAATATTCTACTGTAAAAATTTTGATCTAATAGTTTAATATATTTTAATAATCTTAACATTTCTATGATTCATATTAAATAATAATTTAAAATAAAAATAGCCATGCTTATTTTATAAGCCTATATCAAAACTTAAAAGATTTTTAGGACAATAAATGTTTAGAACCACTGCCTTATGTCATTCATTAAAAATGTATGATAAGATAAAAAAAATAAAACAATAAAGAAAATTATTGTTGCTAATAAAATATCAAATTTATTATACACCTTTCTAACTGTTTTTATTATGACTCCTAAATTTTAAATTATACTACAAATTAAAAATTAAGTATATTCTTAAGTTATGTAAGTATATAACAAGGTAGATTTTAAATTTTGTTCTTAGTTATTGAGCGTTTATTAAATATAACAGCAGGAATGTAAATATTTTAACTGTGATCATATAGTTTATAACCCCATAGAATTACATTGCTATTATTAGGCATATAACAACACTTTAGTTAAAAAAAATATTTTTTATTATCATTAAAAATTAATTATATTGTATTTGGTAGCTTGGTATTTGTCGTATTTACAGAGGAATAATTCTTAGTCCATTTCTTAAATTATTGATCATATAACTATTAATGTGTTGTCTACTATAAATAACCCAATTAAAAAATTATATAAATATATTGAAATTTTAATTTGTAATCTAATGTTTTTTGTAACATTTTTATTTAAATTCTACTTAGGTACTTTTTAAAAGTATTTTAATGATTTATTTTTTTTAACTGTTTTGTATGTTACACTAATTTTTTATAAAATTTAAGTATATTTTGCAATTTCTAATATGACCAATGCACATAAAAATATATAATTGCTAATAAAAATTGATTTATATAAATTTTAAATTTAAAAAAATGTTGTATAGAAAACCAACATTAAATTAGAACCTATGTTAGATAGGTACCTATATTAAGTTAAAATGTCAGTTATGAAAAAAATAAAATTAACTTAGTTACCTACATACTTTAAAAATTATTATTTTATTTAGTATAAATATTTCTAATTAAAAACTTAATTTACTAATAATATATTGATGTAATCTCTCTTGTTTTAGTTTAGACCTTACTTATCACAATTTAATAATGGTACACAATCTCACAGTTCAAATAATTTAGTAGATAATGCAAATATCAATGAAAACATTAATTTTAAATTTGTTTTTGTAATGATTAGTTAAGTAGGTATTATTAAATAAGCAGTACATTTTACCCACTAGGAAGATCAAAACAATGAATATTAATTTAAAACTTTTGTAGTAATTTAAACAGAAACTACCTTCTACAAAAAAGTAAAGCCACATTTTTGTTAATCAAAGATACAATGTAAAAAAAAAAAAAAAATAGAAACACAGTAATTAGTATTTTTGATTTTAACATGAATAGACGTCATATAACAAGTTGATATGAAAACTATTAACAAGGGTGGTGATGTAGTATAAATGGAAATAACAGTAATCAATAGAAAAGTAAAATAAAAAACAAATAATAGTGTGGTAGACACCAAGTCAACAAACACATATCAAGTAGACTAAGCCAAAGTGTTAGACTCCGAGGTATCTACTTCTAATGTAATATGTTTCTCAGTATATACAACTACATAGCTATAAGGGTTTTGAATGTTTATAAAAAGAGGTATCAGAATAATTCTCTTCCAAAATGTCCCAAAACAGTACACACATACACACATAGATCCACTATCATCGGTTTTGTAATGAATATTACTAACCTTTGAATTTGAGCTCGTACGGCGGTTCGATGAATAGAATCTGTTCAATTTTTGACGACATGGTTTGTTGCTCGGGTCGAGTGATATCAAAACGGTGGTAAAGCTTTCGTCAACCTTATGTTCGCAGATGAGAATGTACCGGAGAAGGTGGCGACGATGGTGGCTGCTGCTGTTATATTGCTCAAGTCGCTAAGCCGCTGTTAAGTGATAGCCGATATGAGAGTTGGTTAACACACACACGCGCGGGCGCGAACCGCAAAGGAACACGCACACAAACACAAGACTCACACACACTCGCGCGAACGCTGCAAACGTCGCGGGGCGCACACACACACACACACACACACACACACTTACACGCACGCACACACACCGCACATACACAACAAAAATAACGGAGGTGGACAAATGACCGACCAGTGGACCGTATGTCTGTAAGTCAGAGCAGAACGTCGTCGGTTTGACGGTCGGAATTCGAAACACTGTCGAATGGCAGACGTTAAGAGACGCAAGACCGAAAAATAAATTGAAAAAAAGAAAACCGAAAATTGACTGTGGTCTGTGATAGTATGGTTGACTAGAACACAAGTGTCAAGTTGCAGAGGCCTAAGCTGAGCCGTAAAGCCCGTAGAGAAAAGCTTGATGATTAAAAAAAAAAAACAATAATACAAGCAGAACCGTCTGTTTAACTGGACTGGAACACCATTACACCAGTAGCAGCAGCTGTTGCTATGAGGTTATGAAAAACCTGTAGTATACCACAACCGTGGTCATACAACATTACCTCCATGTCTGTTGACTTGATATTGGCGGGCTTGTCGCAAGCTGTGAGCGATAAACTTTAGTTCTGTAGTTACACTTATACTTACCTCGTATCGTAATTTGTAAAGATGTTTTGCTACGATGTTTTTTTAAAACGTATTTCAGTATTTTGCTGATGTAGGTACGTATAAATATCGTTTTCATATTGAATACAATTTAAACTAGACTAAGAATTAATGTACTCATTAGTATATTTTTTTTCAACTCCAATATTATTTCTCATCATTTGTTACAGGTACTCGTAAATTTATTTTCTAGTGATCTACGTGCAAAGATGGACATTAATTCAGGTGTCTCATAGCCTTTTAATAAGGCAATTCAACATTTTCATTATTTAACAGTAAAATAGTGAACTCCAATAGGTAGGTACTATTATACTATAGACGAGTAATAAATAATAATAAATTTTTAAATTTATAAATGTACAATATGTATACTTTTTATTTATTATTATTATTTATAATCTATATACACTATTAATACAATAAGTAAATTAATTAACTTTGTAGTTTGTAAAAGACTTGAAAAAACACAAGGGAAGGGAGCATCCATCAACGCTACTTCCAAATGTGTTTATCCTATTAATTTTTAAGTACATTAATGAAAACCCATTATTTATGATATATAAAAAGTATTTAGAAGAATTAACTTAATTTGTACGTACATTATAACAATAAGTATAATTTAAAGCCAATGAACTTATAAACAATGCGATAAAACAAATATATATATATAAATTCAAGGTGTTCAATTGTTTTATGTATTATAGTATGTAGGATTTAGTTACAAACTAAGTATCTACTGTGGTCTAAGTTTAAATTTAGTATATCATTAATTCAATATGTAATTATTATTATTATTAACATTGTCTAATTTAATTAGTAAGTTTTTACTATTAACTAATTAGTAATTATAGGAGTTATACTGATAAAACCGAAATATCAAATAAGAACCGATTCAGCTTATCTACTGGAGACGGTTTTATGTTGCTTCTTTTTGTTTATTAGCACTTTTAGCAGTGTGGCGTTTATTACTATAGTACCATTTAATATTTAAGTTTTATTCTTAAAATCAAATATGAAGAGGAAATAATTTTTATTTGTTTAAAAATGTTAGTAATTTAAATTATATGTCGCATAATATTAGGTTCAGGTATCAATTAGTGCTAAAATGATATCGCTATTAATATGATATTGTGATTTAGTAGTTGTTAGAAAGTAGAGGTACCTTCTAATTAAAATTAATTTGTAATAAAATCAATCTGTAGTTTTTAGAACCTATAACTTGCACTAAAAGGAAAGGGCCAAAAGATAGGATGAAACTCGATGTAGTCGATGTAGGTAAATATTTAATACCTATCCATTATATCAGTACAGACCAATAGACTGAATTATAGAATACATTATAATTTTATAAATGTGTAATATTATTTATATCGTGAGATTATATTATTAGTTATTGGTTTATTACTTATTAGTCATTACTAATGATTGTTTAATATAAATTTTATAATGGTATTAAATCAATGATTATAAGTTCATATTACATAGTGATAAATGCGTACATAAATAAATTAGTTTACTTATATTTGAAATATTTTATAGTCTTATAGATTTATAATTTATATATATATACCATTATACCAAATGAGTTATTGGTTTAAAATCATCAAAATGTTATCATGTTTTGATGCAAATTGATAATTTTTAATGATATACGTTAATACGTATGCAATTAGAGCTTGGTGAGACCGGGACAGTTAGGAGCATATGAGCCAGAATAAAACATAATTATAATTTTGTTATTAATACTTGATAATAAACATTTAATTAGAATATGCATAAACTGGTTAGTGGTTATATTGTATAATACATAGTAAATATTTATAAATTATAAATGATTCATTATACAGTAGACCTATCTATTCACTAATACACAAAATAGGTACTATATGTACCTAAATATTTATATATACATATATTTAGTATACACTATTACTTAAGTATTACAAATGTGAAATTTTTACGAAATAATTTGACATTATAAATATTAAGCCGAGTGGTTATATTTTAGGAGCTGTTAGTTGCCAATAATTTTGTTTTTATTTTTATTTTATAGTTTTTAAGTACTGTTTATAATTTGGAATCTAAATTACTTATCTAAAGATTTCGGTCAATTAATTAATTAATTTATTTTACAGGCGATAGTTCAATATAATTATAATACAGTAATTTGTATTTAAATTTGCAAAATATGCATGAATATATACATTTTATACTTCATAGGATAAAAAACAAAAATAAATTTATAATTTAGCTATAAATTATGATGATATAATCAATTTAAATAGGAGAAGAAAGTGTCTTTAATGGCTTGCCTCATACAGCGAGAGAGAGTATCATTATTTTGGTAAATCTGTAACATATAATGTTGCAGAGAACGGAGCAACGTAACGATAGGGCGCGTTAGAATTCTGAAGCTAATGCGTGTTGAAGGCGGTGCACACGAATTGCGTCCCAAGATTCATTTTCCACAAGAATTGCGTCCCGACAATATTTATTGAGTATACGAATTGCATCCCAGTGATATTTATCGAGTACACGAGTTGTGTCCCAACATAAAAACATTATTTTTCTACAGACTTAAGACTGTCAAAAGCACATTAAAACTATCGGTAGGTTAAAAATATAGTTTTTTTGTCTTTTTTTTTTTTTGCAATTAGAAGTAGGTATATAAATTAAATTAGTATTAAAAAATTAAATTAATACTTAAAAAATCATAAGATGTAAAAACATCATTTTCCTTCCCGTATACAAACTAAAAGTGTAATCTGCTTAAAAGTTACCTGCCCATTTAAAATATAACTGAGGAAAAAAATATAATTATAAAATAATCGTGTGGATAAAGTCGGATGCAACTCGTGTAGTCGCTTAGATAAAGCCTTCTTTGTGTACCTTCTTATCAATTTTTATAAATCGGGACGCAATTCATGTGCAGCCATTGAAGCAAAGAAGGAAATTCAATTTTATCATAGATGGGATTTTGAAGGAAAGTTAAGTCACGAGAAAGACGGCGATCGGCGAGAGATAGGGTATTTAAGTTTAAGAAAACTGGGTCGTAGTCGTGAAGCGGATGGATGATAATCAATTTGAACCCAGCGAAGCTGATAAATCTACGATGGACACGTTTGATTTATTGGTTGTTTATTATTATTGAGTAAAGATTCCACACCACGGAATCATACTCAAGGATGGATCTGACCAGTGTACAGTATAACGCCTTAAAATACTTTGACAGTTTAAATTCTTCAGCAATTATCTTTATAAAACTTAATACTTTATTTTATTTGCACGTAATATGGTCAAAACATCGAAAAATTATAAATGAAACCAAGATTGCAAATACCACTATCAACAGAAATAAGAACGGTCCCGTTAATTAAGTAGGAGAATAAATAAGGGAAACAGGAATAGTGAAGGTCATAAATTTACATTTATCGATGTTAAGAGATAACCCAATATTTGATAGCTCGTTCAACAAATTTGTCCTAGTCTTTCTATAAGATTATGCAATCATCTTGGACAACGGTTTTAAGAAAAATCTTTATATCATCAGCATACGACAGAAACTTGCAGTGTCGAGAGACATTTGATAAACTATTTTTGAATAGCGAAAATAAGATTGGAAACAGATGTCTACCTAGAGGAACACCCGTCGGCGCTATAAATATACGAAATTTGGAGCCGAAAAATGTAACCCATTGAGGCCTATATTTAGTAAATAAGAACATATCCAATCTATCAGAGGGTAGCCGAACCGGCCAACTGTCACCAATATAAAAACAAGTGTTTAATTGTTCACAGAGCTAAAAGCTTTCACAAAATCTGTATAAATTACGTCCATCTGTGATCTATATTTAAAGGCATCATAACGCGAAAGTAGTTATAAGTTTCAGTTGAACCTCTCGGACGGAAACCATGTTGCTTATTGATCGAGACTGCAGAGTTTAAAAAGAATGTAATAGAATCTAAGATTAGCATTTCGAACTTTTTAATAAATGAGAAAGAATCTTTACGTCTGAAATAATATTACATTTAAAAATTAGAGTTATGTGGCTGATTTTCCAAATTCCAGGAAAAACACGTTTTTCAAGAATCACCAAAAAAAGCAGCCCTAGCGGATAAAAGATAAAGAAAATTACCCGAAATACCGTTGTTACACCAATCAAAGACTCCCCTCGCAGGATAGATAATTTTAAAAGCAATTCTATTAATATTTATGGGTAAGTATTAACTAATGAGTGGATATACTCGTATTTCAATATTTTAACGTAATTTATAAATTAGTTCTATAAAATTGTAAATTTTGAAACTTTGAAAATTTGTAACATCTTTGGATATTATGTGTTTCCATTTATAACATTAGTTAAAAACATTTTAAATTTATAGACTCCAATGTGACTTACTGTTTGATATATATTTTATAAATAAATGATAATGTAATTATAACATTCTCATAAATGTTAAAAAAATTTTTGAAAAAATAAACAAACCTAATCTAATATTTCATTAATATTTTTATAATTTAATAATAATGTATACTTAATACTTTTTTTAAGGAAATAAAACTAGTACAACTAGTAACTTCGTACACATAGGTAGTCACATTATGATGGTAAATTGTTCTCTACAATTATTATTAAATAAAAAATAAATGTAAATTATAATATTTATGCAAATAAATTAATAATAATAATATATAAAATTTGACATTGGTAGTCAGTCTATACTTGCATTAATAGACGTAAGTATGTTACAGTAAACAATTGTC